TATTTCTTTTATTGAAAACAAAATTATCCGTTTGAAAACATCGCCTATCAGAATAACATGTAGTAAGCAGCTGCAAACTTTTTAACCGGAACTAGAGTATGTCCCGAGCTCGAGATTGTTATTGTTTACATTTCTATTGAAAACACCATCCATAAACAAGAGGGGCCTCCCTGGCCGAGCGGTGTCGCCGGTCCAAACGCTCTGTTAAGCGTGGAGGTAGCGGGTTCGAATCCCACCGTGACCCTGGATGTATTCTTTGTGATGTCTTTCTCTGAATTGTTCTATCTGTATTTTCTACTTGACAATGACTTATAAGCCTATATTGAGCACACAAGTCAGCAAATGTATGTAATTTCAATAAAATAAAAAATAAACATAAACAAGAAACTTTTTCAGTGTCAAACATCTAATTGTGATTGTCGATCGAAATGGGCTACAAGTGGCGTAGAGAAGAACTATCTACTTAAGGCAACACATCGCATGCTTTCATCAGTAGCGTGTGGAGAATCATAGAAGAAGAAAGTACGTTAGTTTCACTCTTTATTTTCAAATAGATTTAAAACTTTTAAGTTAGGAAATCGTATGGAACTGAAAACTACATTGAAGATAGTTCCAAAAGAAAGCATAGTGGAAAATTTAAAAAACATTTGCGATAATTAAATACGAAAAATATTAAGAAAGGGGAAAATACCATAGTACATTTCTATACAATTGAGAAAAGGAAGAGAAAGAAGGGGGCTGGGTCAAGCCATAGAACCACTATTCTCCCCAGATCGCATATTCGAGAGTTGCGATCACGAATAGAGAAAGTAAGGAGACAAACATATTCAAAATAGTTTAACCAATAGGGACAGATGAACAAGTATGAACAAGAAAATAAAATGGCAAGATAAGAAGCAGGTGTGGGGTGTTTGTGCTGAAACCCAGGGTGTAAAAGATAACTTGAAATAGATTTCGAAATATCGGAAAGCAGTAGCAGTCCAAATAATTCCCATATTATTTAACATATTTTGACTCCAACAAGCACTACACGTGAGTTTTATAACTGTTGAATAATTTTCATAATTAAAATAAAATTATCGATCTCTTTAAGTATATGTAAACATAATTTTATTAAAATCTGCCGATAAGCCTGAAAATAATAAACTAAAGCTGAAACACTGGCTCCACAAAGTGCGCGTGAACTCTCGTTCCTCTTATAATTTTTTAAAGTCAAATTTCTTTTTTAAATTATTGTGTATGGGTAGACACAAATGTGTTAAAATAACGACGTTTGTTTAATTTTCGTTGCAATTTTTAAAAATTAAGATCCATAGCAAACACTTATAACACTTTTTTTTTCTGTAACGAAAACGTTTACTCACCATATTGACTTCAGAAATAGCGTCGAAGCTTGCTATTTGTATATCCATCCCAATGTATAAGGGTGGCCCTAAAATTATATATTTTCTTTTTTAAAATAAATAATCTTATGACAAATAAAGTGCAGATTGTCTTAAAAATTCAAAAACATTGTTTCTCTAAATTGTAAAAAAAAAAAAATATTTTCAAAAGTCTTACCTCCGAATTTTGGACGTAACCGAACATCGTAACCAATTAGTATTTGCTTAATAAGGTAGGTAATGTTCTCCACTTCAATTGGTTTTGAAAAATGACAGAACCTGTAATTAAAAAAACGTCATAGTTTAAATAGAATTACAATCGACAATTATGAAGATTTATTTTTTTCTCTCACTAAAATTAAATTATAAATTCATATTCATGAAAGGCAGAAAATATTAAATTTCTGCAAGAGCTCTGATCGAAATCAGTGAAAGTTCGATGAAACCAGAAAAACCTGATAGATTAATAAAACTGGATATCAAATAAAAAAATATGGTCCCTGTAGTTTGATTAGGAGAACGGCCCAAGTTTTGGACCCCTTAATGTTAATTTTAATTATTGAGTATTTCGCCATATCTCGAGAAATTATAAGGCGAATTAAAAAATCTTTGAGCATGATTATAAAAAACGTCTATCCAAAGATAATTCTAATTTAAAACAATTTAAGTAATTATTTATTACCATTTTTTATTATTTTTTATAATTTAATTTAGTAATAATAAAAAAATTTAATCGTGAGATATGCAAGATTTTAAGTCATTTTAAAGAATGTATTTGCGTAGCAAAAAAAAAAAAAAANAAAAAAAAAAAAAAAGAAAAAAAAATGATCGAAATTGGTCCAAAATTTAAAAAAAAAGACAGATATTTAAAATTCGATTTAACAGGAAGTATTTGACCGATTTCGCTCAAATTTTGCATTTTGTAACGAAAAATTACTTTCTTTTAAACGATGTAGAAAATATATATCTTACAATAAAATTTTTAACGACCATTATTAAATAAAATAATAAGAAATAGTAAATATTTACTAAGCACTATTTTTAAATAATTTAATTTTATTTGGATGTACGAATTTAATAATTGTGTACAAAAAATGTTTAATTCGTTTTAAAAGTTCTCGAAACAGGGTGAAATACGCAAAAAGTAAAATTAACACTAAGGGGTCCAAAATTTGGATCGATCTCATGACTAAACTGTTAGAGCTATATTTCTCAAATTGTGGGCGCTCCTGTATTTTTTGAGTCAGAAATCCGAATCCATCGAAAAAAAGGTATGTTTATTCAGAGAAAGTACGTTTTTGTGTCTAATTTTGTAAGTTAAATCCTCGGGCCGGGCAAGGTTGACTCAGCCTTTCATTCCTTCAGTGGGTCGATAAATGAGTACCAAGCATGCTTGGGAACTAAACACTGGGGGTTTCGCGTTCGGCTGACCACCTGACCGGAACATCTGCTCCTGCACCCCAGAGCCCAAGGTCAAGAAAACTGATATGGGCGCAGTAGGCCTTGGCCCTCTATGGGCTGTCGAGCCACTAAGTTAAGTTTTGTAAGTTAAAATATCGTCTGCACTAATTAATTAGCATTTTTGAGGTCCCCATTCGAACCATTTGAACAAGAAGATTCGATCCTTAAATTGAGCAAAAGTTCTTCTAGATGGTTTGTTTTTCATTTTGCGCTCTGGATATAGAAGATCTTTCTTTGAAAGTGACAATAACCGCTATCATTTGTGGAAGACTTTTTCAGTGTTAGAAAAATATACAATTTAATGTACTGTCGCAGAATTATTTCTAACTAAAACTTGCCACTAGATGGCAGTTGCATTCACAGCCAACTCGCCAATGAATGGCTGGTATAACTACAGCCACTTCCCAATTTAGATTAAGAGGACGCCATGCTATGGGAGAAACTTTTTGTCGCAAATTCTCTTTCACCTCCATTACGAATTTAAAATTTAAAATATAGGAAAAGTGAGTTCACACTAATCTAGAGTAAGCCATGAAGTTTCAAATACTGAAAATAAATTTTGAAAATTTTAAAATGAAAATAAAATATTAAAAGATTACTTAGGATTACGCTATTGAGAAGTTATCTTCCAATAATTTGCTCGCATTTTGATATTTTGAGCATTTTTTTCAGCAATTGAAACTTCATGGCGCACTCTAGGTTTACCTTAACTTACATTTTCCTGCTTTTAATTTTTAAACAAGCAATGGAGTTTAAAGAGAATTATCTTCCTATAATTTGTTTGCATTTTGATATCTTGAGCATTTTTTTCAGCAATTGAAACTTCATGGTGTACTCTAGGTTTACCTTAACTTACTTTTTCTTGCTTTTAATTTTTGAACTAGTAATGGAGTTTAAAGATAATATGCGAAGAAAAATTTCTCCCTTGATATGGCGTATTCCAAAGTTTTTTCCCCTAGTTAGGTGATCAGAACGTTGCAGAGAGTGCTATAGTGCAGACGGTTTTCAGATTCCGGTTGCATGTGCTATAAAGGGTGTTATTCAATAAAATATTAAATTTCAAATCTTTCGATTTATCATACTCAAGCATACTACAATAACCTTTCGCTTAAAAAACTAATGTGAGGTGTTTAGAGCCACATTGCACGGAATGTACTAGTACTAGGTGGAATGTGAAAAATTTTACATGCATGCTCAGCTGAGTACATTTAAAAAAAATACAGTTTAAAAAGCAAGTACCAAAAGTTACCGATATGAGAAAATTTGGTGTTTTAAGCAAAACCGTTATTACTAGAACATATTGAGCCACAATTGCTAATATTAATGAATTCTTCTCCTTTTTAATAAATGAGTTGCTGCTTGCATTGTTCAGTTACAAAACTGACCATCTCAAATTTTGTAAATGTGTTTTTCTTTTCGGTTTTTTAAGTGTTAGCATACCGCTCACCCTGATGTATTCTGATAAGAAAACTTTAATTTTCTGAGGAAACCAAATTTCGTAAAATTTAAATTCAAAAAATTTTGTGGTAAAATTTGCACTGTGGTAATATTTTTATTCTTCTTTTTTGCATAATTAGAATTTGAGATTTGTCTGCGTTTACTACTATTTTCCATTTTACACACCAGTCTTCTATTTCGCGTATTTGTTCCTGTAATTTTATTAATGCTATAGTATTTGGATTCCTTGATTTGATGATGATTCCTGTATCGTCTGCATAAAAAGCTGAAATACTACTGTAAACTGTTCCATTAATTGGAAAATCATAAATGTATAAAATATATAGAATCGGTCCAAGAATGCTGCCCTGAGTTACTCCAGCTGTGATATTTCTTTTTGATGATTTGCAGTTTTGAATTGATACTTGAAAGGTTCTATTTGAGAGATAACAGGAAAGTAGTTTGATGAGACCGGGTGGAAAGTTAAGTTGCATTAATTTGAATATCGTACCAGTATGGCAGAATTTGTCGAATGCTTTTGAAATATCTATCATTAAAAATGCTATTGTTTCTTTATTGATTAGAGCTCTGTCGGTGTAATCTATTATGCGAAGTAGTTGCTTTGTAGTGTCCAGTTTTTGACGGAATCCGAATTGCTCGTTGGGGGAGGCTGTAAGGAGTGGCTTGATTCTATTATATGATCTTTTCGTAAATTTTTCCCAGAATATTTAAAACTCTAAATGGTCTGTAACTCTCAGGGTAGCTTGAATTTTTCTTTTTCTTTAGAAATAGAACGACTGATGAGTTTTTCCAGGTTTGAGGACAATAATTAAGAGCCAGGCAGCTATTAATAATATGCATGATTTTATGTACATATATAGTTGGGAGGTATCAGTTTTATCATTTTATCTTTTACTCCACCTTCACTTGGTGCTTTGAAATATTTTAAATTACAGATGTTGTTGCAGATTTCTTTATTATTTGCAGGTTCTATTGTTCCAGGGATAGGATGCTTTTGGTGGAAATTGTTTACTTCTTCTATGATTAAATTATGTTGGTTTTGATCTGAATTTGGATTTGGTAAGAACTGGTTTAGGAGAGAGTCTGCAAATATTTCAGTTTTATCTTCTATTGTGTGCATTAAGCCAGATGGTCCATTTATTGGTCTGTTTATCTGTGGTGCGGTCTAGAATATATCAGCCATTTTTCCAAATAGTATTGTCAGTGGTACTTTTCTCTGCCAGAGTTGCTTTTTGTATATTTTGCTGTGTTTCCTTATCCATTTATTTAGTTGTTTGATTTCATTAAGGTATGCTGGATCGGAGGTTCCTTGATGCCACTTTCTATAATGCAGTTTCTTTATCGGATATTATTTTTAATCTCTGGAGGTAGCCGGTAATGATGTGCAGCATGGTTTGTTTCTATTGAGGCATTTTTGTAGGCGTCTATGATTTCAGATTGTAGCTGCTGGGTACGGTTATCTACTGTAGTTTCGTCTTTTAAGGTTGGTAGGTTTCTATTGTTGATAGTATTATTGTTGAAGATATTGTTGTTGAAGTATGTTTCTGTCGAGATACCAGTTTGTTTTAAATTTTGATTTTTCAGAGTGTTCAGTTGTCAGCCCGCCGAGCAGTTGGACAGGTAGATGATTAGATGACAGATGATTTAGTGAGCATGGGGACTTGCATATTTGTTATTTCAAAGTCAAGTACGTCTGGTCTATGGTTTAGAAGGTTTGGTATATAGGTTGGAGAAGTTGGAGCAGTGATTATGAGTTGATGTTTGAGGATGAGGTTTTTAAGTTGTACTCCTGTATAGTTGGAAAGGTATTACCGTAGCGAAGTGGCGCACCACATAAGTTTCTGAATTATTTAGAGTTAGTGGGGAGTAAATACCCTATAAATCGAATTTACTAAACCAAGAATCATACATTGAAGGACTACCACTCGAAAACATTTAACCACTGTTCAAAGCAAGTTGGCATCTCTGTGCTTTTGGCATTAAAATTATTTTCGTTAGAAATTGAAATTGCGTACTCTCTGAGTTGGTTCACCAATTTTTTCTACATTCCCTCCTTTAAATCTATAGGGAGGAGGAAATGTTCTGAGTAGAAAATGAATGAATGAGAATGGAAAAAAAAGAAAGAAAGAAAGAAAAACCCGACATGTGAGGGATACGTAAGATGTTTAGAGCCCCATCACCATGGGGCTCTAAATATATGTGCACCCAGTATTTCCTTTTTTTTTTAATTATTGCGGTTTTAAACTATTTTAACCAAACCGATATTGATCACTAACATTATTGATAATTAACGATATTGATAATTAATACTATTATTGAAAAACATCGATGATCATGCGAAGGTACTTTAAATGCTGGAT